GCATTAACAGCATAATGTAAAGGAGTTTGTCCATCTCCATCTCCAGCATTAACATCAGCATCTTTTACTAATAGAGCTTCTACTACGTATGCATTAACAGCATAATGTAAAGGGATTTTTCCATATTGATCTACAATGTTAATATCTGCACCATTTTCTAATAGAGCCTTTACTATATCTGCGCCACCACTCTTAGCAGCACAATGTAAAGGAGTTTCGCCATATTTATTAATAGCATTAATATCTGCACCGTTTTCTAATAGAATATTTACTACATCTGCACTAGCAGCACAATGTAAAGGAGTGTGTCCATATACATCTACAGCATGAATATCTGCCTTTGCTGCTAATAGCGCTTTTACCACATCTACATCAGCAGCACAATGTAAAGGAGTTATGCCATTTCCATCTACAGCATTAACACTTACACCTGCTGTTAATAAAGCATTGATTATGTTTCCTAGATTCACACAAGCAGAAATATGCAGTAATGTAGCTAATTGACCCCTGATATCTCTATATTGAAATTTAAACAAGTAATTAAGATTAAAATTCTTGCCCTTCCACTTTTTATATTCATCTTGATCTAAAACTTCTTCTAATCTGTTTATTATTTCCTGGATGATGTGGTCTGGATTTTTATTGTTTATTTTACTTAATATTTTTTGCCAATCCTCAGCACGCATAACTTTCCCCCTAAGTTAATATTATATATAGACTAGAGCTATAATATTGCTAAAAAACAGTCAAATCATTTTTCATTCCTAGCGCAAACATCTGCATCTGCTGCTAATAAAATTTTTACTATAGAGCACAAATAAGCTGTAATTTTATACATATCTCGATATAAAACTGTCGCTAATCTGTTACTTATTTCCTCAATTATATAATAGAAAAGCAACAAAATTGCATCAGTTTAGCTACTAACAGATTGACCCTGAACCATGTTCCCTATACCTACTTGTATTGCATTTACTCTAGTCTTAGGTGCAAATAATTTATACGTAATGACACCAGCAACTAGAGCAACCACCGCAACTGCAGCAAATACTAAAGGTACATGTCTTATATCGATGGTAATATCTTTTTTTACAATAAGCCATATCACCAATATCATCCCAAATGCTGCCGTTAAATGACCAGTAACAGCACTTATCATAATTGGTTTATAAAATCTTTTGTCTTCCTTTCTTCTCAAAAGTTGCCTTACATCATCATTCAAAGTTAAGCTTCTTGAAGTGTAACCATGCTTATCCTTCAATAAAGGATTTGCTCCATTTTCTAATAGCATTTCTACTGTGCCTATATTACCACGTAAAGCAGCCCAATGCAGAGGAGTTCTTCTAAAAATACCCTCTACTGAATCAACCTTTGCACCTGCTACTAATAGAACCTTAACCGTATTTACATGACCACGTTCAGCAACCAGATGTAGAGGAGTTTTTCCAAATTTATCTCTAGAATCAATATTGATACCTCCTCTTTTTAGCAGAATCTTTACTACATTTATATGACCGCGCAAGGCAGCCCAGTGTAAAGGATTTCTTCCAAAAATATTCTCCTCTATATCAATCTTTGCACCTTTTCTTAATAGAGCTTTTACTATATCTATATGATTATCTTCAGCAGCATGATGTAAAGAAGTATTTCCATGTTTATCTCTAGTATTAACCTTTGCCCCTTTTTCTAATATAGCATTTACTACATCTGTGTTGCCACTTAAGACAGCCCGGTGCAAAGAAGTACTGCCATATTCATCCTTAACATTAACATTCGCACCGTTTTTTAATAAAGCATTTACTGCTCTGCTTGCACCATGAAAAGCAGAAATATGCAATAATGTGCATTGATTATCTATACGTTTACTTTGAAATGGAAATGGGTGATCAATATTAAATCCGGCATCCTCCCACTTTCCATATATATTAGGATATTTTACCTCTAATTCTCTTTTTATTTTATTAATTACCTCTTGATAACTTAAATCCTGCACAATTTCTTGATGACTTAAACCTGGAACAATCTCTTGCTGACTTAAATCCGGAATAATCTCTTGCTGACTTAAATCTTGCACAATTTCTTGACAACTTAAATCCGATACGATCCCTTGATGGCTTAAATCTTGCGCAACATTTAATATCCCTTTCCATTCTCTATCATGCATAACTCCTCCTTAATTTAGTTGAAATGACAACTTTTTTATTAAAAAATTAGATTATTTACTCCAAAACCTAAGACTTATGCTATACATGCAGATACTACAACTCCTGTATCCGCTCTTTCTCCCTCATTGTTTGTACTCTCTCTATCCTAGTACTAGGATCTATATGTAAAGAGTTATCAAGTATTTTATATGTAGTAATACCAATTGCTAATGCAACCATTAGNTTAGAGCGTTGTAGAGAAGCAAAGTCACACATGGGATAGGTTTTTATACCCCCCAAAGAGAATTTGACGTTTATTTCTTTGTTTCGCAGAAGGTCTATTGTCATGACCATTAGTATCAAAAAAGATATGTTGCTAATACCAATGCTTCCTTCTTGAACAAGCCACATTGCTATTACAGCTTCCAGTAATGCAGTTACAAAGCCAACAGTACCACTTATTATTATCTTTGATTGCAGAAGTTCTCTTTCTCTTACATTCTCAAAAAATTGCTCTCTCTCTTGATCCCAAATTAAATCTTTTGGAGTTCTACCATAATTATCTCTCAATGAAAGATCCGCTCCGCCCTTTAATAAAGCCTTTACTACATTGGTACGATTATCTTCAGCAGCATGATGTAAAGGAGTTTCTCCACCTTGATCTACAGCATTAATATCTGCACCTTTTGCTAATAGAGCTTCCACTATAGCTGCATCACCACTTATGACAGCCTGGTGTAAAGGAGTTCTACCATATCCATCCCTAGCATTAACATGAGCACCGTTTTTTAATAAAGCATTTACTGCTCTGCTTGCACCATGAAAAGCAGAAATATGCAATAATGTGCATTGATTATCTATACATTTACTTTGAAATGGAAATGGGTGGTCAATATTAAATCCGCTGCTCTCCCACTCTCTATATATATTTGAATATTTTACCTCTAACTCTCCTTTTATTTTATCAATTATCTCTTGATAACTTAAAGCCTGTGTAATCTCTTGATAGATTAAATCTTGCGCAACATCTTGATATACAGCATCCTGTGCAACATTTAATATTTCTTTCCATTCTCCATCACGCATAATCCCTCCTTAAAAAATACAACTTTTTTATTAAGAAAATTAGATTATTTCCCCCATACCCTAAAACTTATGCTATCTTGCATGCAGAACATTACCATACTGCAACTCCTGTACTTGCCCTTCCCCCCTTACTGCTTGTGCTATATCTATCCTAGTACTAGGCTCTGTAGATAAAAAATTATCAAGTGTTTTATATGCAATGACAACAACTGCAAGCGCAGTCACTGCAGCAAATGTAAGCATACCAGGTGCTGTCCCAACAGAAATACCTCCGTGTACAACAGACCACACTACAATCACAGTTCCAAATACTGCAGCAAAACAACTAACAGTTATAATTAATTTAAAAGGGAATGTCCTTTCTGACTTCTTCAAAAGCTGCTTTATACTACTTTTCTTAGCTAAATCTCGTGAAGTGTTACCATAATTATTTTTTAATAAAGGATCTGCTCCTTTCTTTAATAAAGCCTTTACTATACAGTTACAACCGCTTTCAGCAGCATAATGTAAAGGAGTTTCTCCATCTTGATCTACAGCATCAATCTCTGCACCTCCTGCTAATAACCCCAACTATGGATTAACCAACGCAGTAAAACTGAGAAATACAGGGCTTTTTTCGCTTCATGCAGTATGAAATAAGTGTTGAAAAAATATGCACCAGGAAATTTATAGGAGATCTATGTCTGGTGTGCTCAAGCTCCAGCCTATTTTTTAGATATCCAAAAACCGTCTCGATGATCGATCTTTTTTGCAATAAAATCTTCTCTTTTAGCGAAATTAAGGCGTTTTTCATACCTTTTTTTACTTTTGTAACAAGTTTTAGACCTCTGTCAAATAATTTCTGAAACAGTTCCTTTTTAATATAACCCTTATCTCCAAACAAAAGTCAACCTCTGCTTTTTTTTCTAATAGAGCCTTTACTATCTTTGTATTACTACTTCTAACAGCCCAGTGTAAAGGAGTTGCTCCATATACACTATCTACAACATTAACCTCTGCTTTTTTTTCTAATAGAGCCTTTACTATCTTTGTATTACTACTTCCAGCAGCTCGGTGCAAAGGAGTTGCTTGCTCTTTATCTGTAGCATCAATCTTTGCACCTTCTTTTAATAGAACCTCTGCTGCATCTTTACTACCAAATCTAGCAATCCAATGCAAAGGAGTTGCCATATATCTACCATCTAAAGCATCAATATTTGCTCCATTTTCTAATAAAACATTTACTACTTTTCCTAGGCTATAATAAACAGAAATATGCAATAATGTGCATTGATTATCTATATATCTGTTTTGAAATGCAAACGGATAATCAAGGTTAAATCCGCTTCCCTTCCACTCTTTATATACTCTCCGATGTTCTGCCTTTAATTTATCTTTTATTGTATCAATTACATTTTGATATTTCGAACCTTGAGCAGCATATAATATTTTTCTCCATTCTCTATCATACATAATCCCCCCTCAAGTTAATATGTATATAGTTAAAATCTATAATATTTTTATTAAAAAAAGTTAAATTACTATATCTTTTTTAAGATAACAAATAAATTTGAGAAACGACAACCTGAAATCTAGAAAAGTACTCTATACTATAGAAATTCTCTCCGGATCACGCCTTTCCTCTATCTGCACTTCATCCACTCTCATGCTAGGTGTACGTTGAAGCACTCTATATTTGATGATACCAAATACCAATGCAGTAATTACAAAAAATATAAACACACTAGGTGTAGAGTCCCAAAGTATGATGGTATATTATCATCATACTTTAAGGAGTCATTATGGGACAAATATTACATGGGTACGCCAAAACAACAGAGGCGGTGCATAGAACAATATAAAATAGTAAAGAAAGCATAGCAAAGCTGGCTGAACACTATAGTTTGAACCTAAAGACCATTATATAGTGGGACTGTACATCTAAGGTCAGTTCATTGATGCAACTTTTGGTAAACCGCCGATGCAATCACGGGGAACGATATAGTACGTTACCGGATCTATATTAGGAATCACATCTGGATTAGAATTGTTCATATTTGGAGCACTACTAGTTTCTTTAGACATATCTGGTAATAATGATCTTAAGTATTTTGCACAGTCATCCGGAGTGCAAACAAACTTCATAATATATTTCCTATCTGCTTTTTTTCCTCCAACTTTTTCATTTTCATACACAGATCTGAATAGCCTTGCAAGCTCTAATAATTTATGAGTGTTAAATGTTGCAGAAGTAACTTCAGTGTAAGTAAAAAATTCATCAAAGCATTCCTGAAGTTCAATATCTTCTACTTGGGAAATAATTCCATCAATCTCCTCTATAAACTTAGCATATGAGAAAGCGTCCTTGAAATGTCCAATAGCAATTTTAGAAAAATTACCACAAAATCTTTCTTTTATGTGCGGACGTACGTTGTCACTCATGTTAACAACATTATTGCTAGCAATAGCTAAGCATAAAACACCTATTAGTAAAATGGCTATTGCAGTTATTATCGGTCGAGTATCAATGTAATTTACCACGCAAGGAACATAGTGGCGAGTTATGGCTAAAGCACATGCTATTGTAATTAAAGTTACAACTATCTTCTTCTTATTATTATGTGTATACAAGGTATTGAAAGTAAGCATCTTAAAATTCTCTATTAAACTTAATACTATTTTACGTATTTTTTCA